TCTTTTCCTATTGCTACTCAGGTTATTGTATTATTTCATGAGTGCTTAAGTGCTTTGTATTATTAAATGTCAATTCACTTTGTTTTGAATGTTATCTTGTGAATATTAGAAATCACAACAAGTGTTTTTTGGCCAAAATAAATGTCGTTTCCACCTTGGATTTTCTAGCTGCCCGTATGTTCGTTTCTAACTGTTGTTTATGTTGTCGAGAGCGATGAAGGAAAACGATCTCTGGTTTCTTATTCTCTTGAGTATTATGAATAACACTCTGCTGTCAACTAACCAAACTAATAATGAGTTTTCAGTTGTTCTGCATTCTTAGTATTATGAGATTCAGGCATCTGACAACCTGGGACCAGGCCAGAGATGCAATCAGAGTGTTTCGAATTTGTCATCGAAAATATACCATATAGCATTAATAAATTAACTGCACCCATTACGTACTGCGTGTAAGGAAGTTGAACAATTAAGTGCCGGATACCCGCTACCGATATGTAACGTGTCTGTTGTTTTGGTCATAAAAGTAAGCCTGAGGGCCATGGTTAGAGAGTGAAGGGGTAAATAGTTGTTATTATACTTGATCGATGAAGTGATACGCAGTAGGCGCATAGTGTGGCATCGAGCCACGTCTGACTATGATCACCACAACAAGAAGATTGCGTACCAGAACAGGCTAAAACTCCAAGTAAACCAGGAATCAGAAGGCAATTGAAGGTTGCAGCAAGATATATTTGTTGGCAATCTCGTGGTATCGAAATAATGCCGAGATCATGCCAAAGGAGTACAAGTGGAACTGTTGTGGCATTGGACCATAACCACACAACTCTCAAAGCTGAACACGAGACTACTCGGAAAATAAATATTCAATATTTAACGCGGAGAAATACCTAACGATGGAAAAGGCGGCAACAATGAGTTGAATTAATTAGAATTGATCAGATGGCATGGCTCGGTCATACAGGCGTGGTCCCTGCGGAATATTACTTTATATCTTTTATCCATATTAAATATATCGTTCCTTCTCTAGCCTAAGCTTGTACTCCATCATGTATTGGTGATTGTTACGATACAGTGAGTTGGTGTAGACGATGGTATGATTTCCAAGTAAGATCTTATAGAGTAGGCAGTTATATCATGACAAATCTACAATTTGAGAACTAGGACTATTATTAGAGAAGTTCTGATATCATAGTAGACTATGATTCTACAGAACTACTCAGCAAACGTAAGTTCGTGCAAGGTCACGAGCTACGGGAGAATGTATGTGTTTGGGTACAGGCAAACAAGCAAATGCGATAAAACAATCACCGGTACAAATAATTATAATAATAACTGTTTCCATTACACCAATCGCGTTCTCGTGATAAAAGTAGGTCACTACAGGCGCATGACTGAAGAGATGAAATCATATCGACTAAGTGCTGAAATGGTGTAACAATGTACAGATGTCAGCTTTCTTGTTCATACTATTTCTGGATAAACTCCTTGCGGTTCTAGTGTTTCGTGCGACCCGTAAAATTCGATTTCGACAAAATTCGTCGTCGCAGCATAGCTATCCCTCATATAGTAAGTCCGCTCAATTTTCCAAAATTGACGTTAAGATCCTACTAAATGCATCTAATCGATGAAGACAAGTCACATCATGTACATCTGTTGTGTATTGCCGTACTACTCTAGTTTTTTTACTGTTATATGTCTTTTCAAAATGAAGACGTTTTATCATATTCAGTAAATACATACCGATTTACTATGAAGGCAATCAGGAGGGTCGTGACGTGTTTAACGCGAATGTAGTTGTATGCTCACTAAGAAGCTAAGCGAGCGTGTAGACCCGCATACTGTACCGTATAGTGTGCTCATGTTACCAGTATTCCAGCAGTCTATGAAAGACATTGTTCGCAAGTGTCACGGCGGCCTACTTAAATATCTGGGCCAACTGATCCTGCTATCTAGAAATTCCAATAAGTTATCTGTATCCTTGGTTGTCTTAACAGATCATTATGCCCATTAATCTCATTACCTATTCAGGTACGTTTGTGAAAAGTTTACGACATTTTGCTATACAAGTTCCAGTGATGTACAATCGCAGATATAATGATGGCTGGCGGTGTGCATTGAAACGAATAAACATTAATCAGATGTCGACTTCTGAAATGCTTATATCTAACTGCCAATCACTCAATATTTATCGTTCATATCGATCAAAAAAGCGGAAACTCGCTGAAGTACTGTGTGTTGTGAATTCTATATTGTACCAAATATATAATTTTGAATAAGGATAATAATAGATAAACAAATAGATAGGGTATACAAGAGCGGAACCGTGCTCCAGATTTACGGATTTATTTAGTAATTATCTCATAGTCAATGGAATATTAAACAAACATTTACACCAGATTTCCATTCACAACTTTCATATTTATGCTTAATTATTGTCCATGTTATTTCTTTAAACTACAGTATAAAGAAGTAACTCATAATTAGTGGAAGTGGTTGTGAGGCTAGAACTAACGTCCAGACTGATTTTTAGAAACTTTGGAGAAAGTGCCATAATTGTGACGATGAAACACCTTGCAAGAAGATCCGTCAGGAGTCGCTAATGTTCTATTTTAAATAAACGAATAGGTTTGGTTTTAGTCAAAAATGTGGAATAAGTCAATGTAAAAATTGTCATTTACCAGCATGTTCATGAATATTGATCAAAGATTAGGCCAACGATTACGACCTGTCCAAAGCATAGTATGTGCTTAATATTGCAGTGTACAGCGTTTTTCCTTTTGCTTCCATTTATGTATTCTAACTCACTTGCATTTCGTCTTAAGGGAAGACATACATGGATAGTGTTAAAATTTTTCAATGTTTGTCAACAGCCAGCTGTATTTAATTAAGACGTAGAACACTTCTCTTCTAGGACTGTACACTGCTGCTTTCCAGGAAGGTAACAATACAGCCACTTGTTCATCTAACTGTCGATGTTAACGCTGGGGAAATTTTTTAATAGCAAGGATCTCGAAAAATGGTCAGAGCCAAATGCACAGTCTACAAACGCATACCCAACATCCTTACCACGCTTTTTAATTCAACACTATTTTATAGTATACTACAACAGAAACATCTAAGCTAGTTTTTTCTATTTGTGAACAAACTGATTTGCATCAATATATTCATTAAAAACACGCTGATATGGGAGTTGCTATAGTTTCTCTGTCGTTTTTGGTAAAGACTAAGTTATTACAACAGGCCTATATCACTATTGTCTTACGTTTAATTTATAAACGAAATCAATCAATGATGTGTTTGGAAGAGGGGAAGTATAATAAAGATGATATATCATTATCATATCCTTCTGATATCTCATCTACTGCACAATTTCTAAGCTCCCAACTTAAGCTTCTAGGAGCTAGTTACACTGTAATGCATACATAGTCTGTAGTGACTCACATTCACCACGAGAACACGACTGGTTTAATAAAAACATTACTTATTATAACCAACTGTACCAGTGTTTATTTTAATGTGCTTCTGTTTGGCTGTGCTAATGACAGCTATTTTGTGCTTCCATTCTTTTACTTACACTTCGATTGTAATTTCGCGCGAATTCGGTTACCTTCTGTAACCAAGCTTGTATCCTGGCACGATCTCGGTATCCTTTCGATGCAACGAGATCGCCAGCTAATAAACCTCGACTTGGTCCATTAACTGTCTTCTGATATTTGGCTTCTCGGGGATTTTATGGAGTCATTTGGAACGAGCTTCTTACGCCTTCTGATCTATTTGGCACATGTTTCTTGGTAGTGGTTTTCATTGTTAATCTCAACTCGACTCCACGCTACAATTGGTAATCCCAATTCGAATACAAGTCTCACACATTGTTCTCTGGTTTCAACGACAAAACACACTAACGGAAATGAAATATTTGGCAACCCGAATAATTAAACTGATGTCCTACATTGCTTCATTGAAACACTTTGGTTACATCAATTGAACCAAATGCACTAAACTAAAAAGGTGTCATGGTTATTGTTTCATTCGTGAGACATTTGTTGGAAAATAGTTGACCATAGATAATTAGGCCCACAAACCTCAAGAAACAAACTATAGGCCAGTAAGACCAACATAACAAAGGAAAAACGATAGTTTCGAGACCGAAGACAAGAGTCACTTATGTGTCAATACATAGTTTACAGCACAAAAATCCTTTTTTTAATAACAGCATTGCCTGACGGTTTACTTCTTAAACAATCACGACCTCTGCTAAAATTTCCATGACTTAGGATATTATTTCATCAGGTGATGCATGTCCAACGAAACACAGTCTGTATTGGTAAATAAAACTTACAGCCATAGCGAAGTTAACAGAACATTCTAGTTTTTTAATAGCAATTATATCATAATATGACAAATTCATTGGCTACGTGGGTGAAAACATGGCCGTTATTCTGGCCTACAATATGACAACGTTGAGTATATATCCACCCATCTAAAGACAAAACAGGAGGGCATGAAAAGCTAAAAAAATGGACAAAATATGTACCGTATATGGGTTTGCCCACCGAGTCACCAACTCACAGGGCCTACTACTGGGTGGCGCGGCGTCAAATGACACATTCAAGGGAAAACTCGACACACAGAAGCTTAGTGGAAAAAATATCAAACGATATAGATTTCCTTCAATATTACACATAGCTCAGTTTGGAGGAAGTTCGAACGCCGACGGCAAGTTAGAATTAAAGTTTAATTTTGACGTAAAACATTGTGAATAAATGGTATAATCACTAAAATTCCTCAGATATAGTGGTGAGCTTAACAAAACCAGAAAGATTAATATTAAGGCCCTCTTACTGTACCGCAGAGGCAAGGAGTGGGTGCAAAAAAGGCGATCCATTCAGAGAATTCCTTCTCAACTATTGAAAATATATTTTAGATATTATACCTTAGGATTCTCAACATCTTCAAAGCTGTGCGCTACGCCGCCTCATTCTAGTTTTCGTTCGTCAAAGATGATTGTTAAGGAGTAGTGAGTTCTTTCTTTAGTTGTTTCTTTAGTTTCATGACATTTCTGATAATCGCACATTATTTACTCTTATAATAGTCGTGTAATTTTACCTATGACAGTTGAAGAATATCAAGTTGGTCAACTGTATTCCGTTGCTGAAGCTTCCAAAGGAGAGACAGGTGGTGGTGATGGCGTGCAAATATTGGTCAACGAGCCGTTCGATCAAACAACGTATAAGCCTGATCGCCCTTTATTAAAAGGAGACCCAAGGTTCAGCACTGGGCAATACACCCATAAATACTACCATCTTGCGCACAAGGTACCAGGGTTTGTTCGTGTTATCGCTCCTGAAAGTGCATTCGTTTTCAACGAATATGCGTGGAATGCTTATCCCTACTGTCGAACTGTTATCACAGTGAGTAGTTTACTTCAAATGCTATAAGATCCACAGAATAATTACATGATGGAGAAGTTTAGTGTAACAATTGAATCTCTTCACGTGGACTCCTTAGTAAATATAGAAAATGTAAGTTTACAGTGTGTATTTCTCAGCTTTTTTTAGTGGGTTGTCCAACCCGAAACGATATTTTATAACTTCTATTTTCCTATGATCGACTCATCATACCCCAGTGTGTAATGAAAACTGATTGACAGTTTCAAACAATATTTCCCACACTTACACTTGTCTTTGCTGGGCTGTTTTCCCTTTCTACTACGGACATTTAAGTTTGGCAATACTTGAATCTTCACTTTAATGCTCACCATTATTATTGGTAACTACTGTTATTACTATACCAACAGTGGCTTGCAATGTATAACCGTCTAGATAAAAGCTGTTTAGCCAATTTTCCCCTTAATGTTAGAATCACTGATAAAAAAAACCTTTCAGGCAAGACTATTTTATGAACTAACCGATTAAATTATGGATAGGTCTTGAATTTCGGCGCGAGATTCATCCATATATTTAAATAGCATTTTGGCATTATAGCTGATATCAGTTCGTCATGGGATTCTCTAATTCAATTTTTAACCTTAAATCCTACCTCTAAATCCTAATTACTCATACCAATTCATAACTCTCGCTTGATACTGGTAAATAGGTGAGTTGTCTCAAGGTCGCTTTAGTATCACTTAATGATCCTCCACAATTTATGGTTTTACCGCTCTGCATTGTTTTTATTCTATCTTTCCATCAAGGCCACTCTTTACCTCTTAAGCTTCTAAAACTTATCACCATCACTAGTGGGGTTTCAATCATTTACCAATGAATATAAATATGTATATGGCTTTGGTAATAATCTCCGTTGTTTCACCTCTGCTAAGTTACATGTTATTGAGAACACTGCAAACTAATTTTCAAATCATATTCTACTGACTTTACTCGACTATGTCTTGCATGTTAATGAAGAGCTTTTGACACCTTACAGTATTCATTGGGTGCAGATTGCAGTTAGTCCGAAATACCATCCGTGCTGAATGTTTCACTAGTATTTTAGTAAAAGTGTCATAAACGTTCACAAGTAGCATAGATATTCAGTGAAATTTATCTTTATCTAAGCTAACTTCACTGTATAGACATTGGATTTTATTGGTTTTTGTTTGGACTGGTAAATTAAGATACCTTGTCATATTACGTTGCCCGCGCTTTTACTATTTGATTGAACTCAGTGTTGTGAAATTCTCTAAAACTATTCCCAAACTAATTTGGTCACCTCCCCTATTCTGTGCGACGTATGTACCAGTATTGTGCAAAAATTATATGCAGTTTACATGATTATTAAATGAACAGGTTTTTGTGAAGATGTAATTACGTAAACCGGTTTTTATTGTGTTCGAAGTCAAGAATGTTCTGTGTATCTGTAATAACACTATGAAGCTCATATATAGTGAATTCATGTCTCTAGATAGGGAATTCGGACAAGTAAGTATATCAGCGTAAACTGTAGACAAATTTCCACTAAGTTCATTTACCGCATTTCTCAACTGGAAGACGTGAAAAGATTATGATTTATGAACGAACCAATGAGATCTTGGATTTCGGCGCAAAATTCTTCATCTGTTTGGCTAAATAGCGTTTTGTCATTTTGGCTGATGTCATTTCGTGATGAAAACCCTAAATCTAATTCCTAACCCTAACCATAAACTTTAAATCATAGTTCTAATTCCTCACATCTGTTTATAACCTTGATTTAGCCCTAGTATATAAGTAGACGTTCTCAAGGCCACTTTAGCATCGCTCAAAGATTGTCCATAAATTATAATCTCACCGAAGATATTTGTTGTTTTAATACTCTTGAAGTTCAGCGAAACTATCAGATCTTGCATTATTATTATTGTTAACTCGTCAATCATCACTTCAATTCATTATGTGACACTAATGCTTTTAATCGTGTTAGTCATAATGATTGGAGCTAGCATTATTTTTGATAACCAAAGTTAAAATTTCTCTGAAATAACTTTTGTGATATTTTTAGTACCATGGTGACGTATTGGATACATTAATTTCCATATATCTTTTCGGTTGTTAGGCTCATCAGTTAAGTCCGGAAAAATGGGCGGAAGTTGAAGTGATCTACATAGATATTGGTGATATTTCTCAGGCAGACAAAGATTATAACCCTAATGAAGATCCTACAACTTTTCGCTCTGAAAAGACTGGTCGTGGGCCCTTAAAACCGAAATGGTGGGAGGTAATTTATCTGTAGAATCTTTCTGTTACTTTGTACATATGTGTATACATATGTAGCTGTGATTGTTCAAAAACTGTGTTTTACATTATCCGTTTTTATTTTATTTTTTGATCACTTTCTACGTTGATTTCATTTATGTAATGCACAGGCTGTGATGATGTGTTGAGTCTCAGTTGTTATATCTAGGTGAAATTTCTGACTATTTCATTCTGTAAAGACGTGGAGAGACGATGCTAAGATTACCAGTTATCTTGTATTGCTGTAAGTCATTTAATCATATCTCCTTCCATAAAGACATTTATTTTACAACCAATTTGTAGTTGATACAATTCTATTTGTTAACTTAGTAACCTAGCACACAGGTTCATGTGATCTGATTTGGGCTACATTTGTTGTGTAAGTGCTGGTGACACGATTACCTAACAGCTCAAGCTAAGTTCAGATCCCCGACTTATCAGTCAGTTTTAACAGAACAATGAGGATATGTAGTTGTTCTATCGACGCTTACTAATAAGATTAGTTGCCTTATATTTAGTAATTAACGGATGGGTACTTTAATCACTAAACTGCTGCGCTGTGTTATAGCTGATGAGATAAGTTTTGTAACTATTTTTAGTTTATCTTACAATTTGTTTTACTTCATCAGTATCCATCTGAAAAAATATTTACTGGAGAAATTATGGTCGCATAATGTCCGGTCAAACTTTAGTTGAAGGCTCCACTTTCTATTAAGATCAAAACAGTGCGTTCTTTTTCCTTGGTGGTGTAGACCAACTTAGTCAAGCTAATTCATCTAGGATAGTAATCATTTGTGAATTGCTTTATTTCAATCAGAATAATGTTGCATAACAATCGTAAATAATAGGAATCAAAGCCTACTAGCTAAGTTCATGTATCTGGTAGCTAGCTAGGGAGAACGATACTAACCAGTTACTCAAATTGAAGGCGCGTTTGAGATATGAGACTTGTTGATTAAAAACCTAGTGTTGTAAACATTAACCAACCTCTCCATTTTTAGGTCTGTATTTGTGTAATAATGTGTCTCTCATTGTTCTTACTTTGAAACTAAAATATTGTAAACTACAGTAAACCTTATAATCTTACTTTTTGGTATCATTTGGTTTGTTGTAAAATAATCATCCAAGTTTATGTTGTACACATACTAAGCGAAATCATTGGTTGGAAACTTTGAATGGCATCACTGAATCATTTTTCATCTTTTAGATCTTATGTTCTACTGTCCCTTCATATATACCTTTCCACTCTATCGTTTCAAGCTATATTCTCTAGTGTTGAGTTATTCTCACTTTATTTATTTATTTGAACATATGAATATTGGTACAAAAGATCATCAAATACATGTGCACCACACAAGTCACTTGATTTGTGTGTGGGCTGTGATACTGTCTGGGTGCCCAGACTGAAGCATTTTGGTTACTAATAAATTATTTCCATCTGTTTTACACAATCCATCGGATCATATTCTTCTCATCGTGACAATGTGATATGACAACTTTGTCAAGCTCTACCTTGATATCTCCTTGTATTATTGACATACCATTTATGTCAATAATACTATACCATTTATCCCGACCGTTGTTGCTGCCTTGACGTGGTGGTCGGGCTTGCTTCTCGTGATGAACCAGTCGAGCTGTACTGGCTGGAACAACCGTTCCTCAAGGTCCTACCATGCCAGACAGGTCGCTTGAAGAACGGTAAGACTAAAAGCAGCAAACCCAAGGTCCGAAGGCGAAGTCGTACTGCTGACTGTACAGAGGTGTGACAGCAGTAAGGTGTTTCCTTCAGACAGCCAGCATAACAGCAATGCTGCCTTCCTACAAGGAGGGATAGGGTTAGAAAACATCGACCCTAAATTGCACACCTCACCTTATCCCACGGATATCTGTCTCCGGCGTTAAGGTCCCAACAAATACGGGGCTAACACGAAGATTACTCATAAATAGGTCGTGTGTGACTGACCTCAAACAATTGTCCCTTGGACACTGTGATCACGCTCTCAGGTCACTAAGACCACCCACAACCCAATTTTCTTTTCAGGTACCTTTAGAAGAACTCTTCCATGGTGTGGGCAACCGGGAAGTGATAACCACCCTCGTACTTCTAACACAACTCAAGACCGACTGATTGACTGACATACCATTTATCGTCATAGATTTTGTCAATAACTTCTTTTCACTTACTACAAAATATCCACTTATGGTAATGTTTCATATGAATATTGTTTTCGAAACATACTTTTAAAAATAAGTTAAACTTTTTCAATTGTTTTTTTAAAGCTAATCTTTATTTGTTTATTGTACAGTAATTTATCTTTGAACTATCCATTCTACTATAACAATAATGATTGTTATTATTAATTACTATCATTTCAATATGTTCATTCTTGTTCATTTATATTGTTTCCTCTCTCTCTTATTGTCAAATCCTGTTGTGTTTCAACCTTAATAGGTCAAAATATGAAAAAAAAACGAGGTCATACACATTTGTATATTTCAATATGTATCAAGTTCTCACTATTATTATTGTTATTGTTATTATTATTATTCACTTATATATTTTCACCCTGGATGGACATGATAACGGTGGTATATTTCCTTTCTAAATAAACTTTTATCATAAATTAGGTGACTTAAACTACTTTTCAAAAAGTGATAATCGTATGCTTAAATCAATTAGTTACAGTTCTACTTTAAGATAATAACCTGTTTGTCTTTACACATATGTATAACTTTCTTTGAGTTGTATTATGATAGGTTTCTTAGGCTTATAGAATGCATAGTTTGATGCAAATCAAATAACAGATAGCCTTGACTAGGACGTTATGAAGTGATGTCATCGATATATGTCGTATCTCCTCGATCTTCTCTTGAGTTTCTTATCCAGTGTTGAATGTTGAGGTAACTTTTTTTCAAGTGGCCAAACTAAAATTTGACACCAATCCATGAAATCACTAACTGTTCGACTTAGTTATGAGTCTGAGATCCATGTGATGTGACCACGATCATTGGTTGGAGACTTTCGATGAGATAAATCAGAATCGGTCACAGTGGTACAGATCCACTCCTAAGTCGTAGGTCTCAACATTATTTTGTACTTCTTATTATTTCTTTCATCTTAAACTATATTCTACAATGTTGGATCTTTCTCATTTTCACTGATACTATTATTATTTCAGCTATCCATCTTGTCAGTTTTATCTGGCTACACCAATATGGTATGAAAACTTGAGCTAAATTTCGGAGTATTCCATCACTCTCAGACGAAATGATCACATTGCTATTCATGCGGAGATTAGGGATCGTGTGATCAAACAGTGACAATAATTCAATTAGTGTCACCATCTTTAAAGGCCGGATTCATTGGCTTGAGCATGTTTTATAAATATCGTTCGAGCAACTTCCATATCTTGCATTTTATTCCCGACGCTGATACTGGTTGAAAAAGAGAAGTGTTTAGTTTATAACATAGACCCGAGCTACCAAAGTTGTATAGAGCCGGTATTTGTCGGTCTCTATTTAATGTCAAACAGATAACACAACTCACTGGCTTAATATGTTACCAGACATGGCTCAAAGCATAAACCACTGGTCATCCTGTTGTAATTTTTGTTGACTTTCTTTTAAAAGTGAAAAAAGGAATGTTTCTAATTGTATTTTTTATACCTGATCTGCTTATCCCATTATTCACTGCTCTTGTTCACTCATATTTACAATTTATTGTTTTTTTATCGTCACCTTTCTTTATGACCCCGCAGTCCCACGTTCTTATTCTGTATTGCATATTTATTTCGGTTCTCCTTTGTACCTGCTTCGGTTTGGGCACCCGGGCAGTATCACAGCCCTCACACATATCAAATGATATTTGTGTGGCGCATATGTATTTGGTGCCTCCTTGTACCAATATCTATGTGTTAAAATAAATAAATAAATCTCCTTTGTACCGATATTAATGTATTTTAATAAAACAAATAATTAGCTAACAGTATCAAAAGTGAGGAAAGTTACACACTAAAGATATTGTTTACTTGATAATATTTAGGACTATTCTCTATTTATCACCGAAAGCTTAAACATCACCAACTATCATACCACTGCGTGATGTTAAGATTGCCTTGTACTAACTACTAATGACTAGACTAGAAACATTTTTGTATATGAATAATAAAGTGGGGTCATGTGATTCTTTTCCTGAATGTTCTTCAACAACTATAAGGTTTGATTGAGTTACCTAAATTCTTAATTTTTAACGAACTTAATTATCAAATAGTATTTTGGATAAAGTATACAGTGCCATCGAATTTCTGGCTGGCTAGAAAGTATGAAGCTAACCATCATTTTATTGTATAACATTAGTTTACTCAAATAGAAACCAATCGGTTTGTTTTTTCATTTAATGACCTGTCAAATTCTGTCTAGATGTCTCTATTCTACTCTTCATTTACAGAATGGTTACAAAGGACCGATTATGTGTGCATACAAACTTGTTTCATGTGAATTCAAAATGTGGGGAATGCAAGGACGTATAGAGAAGATGATTCAACGGGTATGCTGGATCTTTTGTTTACCTATAATTTTAATTACTTCTATAAATTATTATTTCCATATATGTAAATCTAACTTATCGACAACATAGTATTTTGGAGTGATATGCATATCGGTACAACATATGAGCTTTCTTCATTCCTGTATGTTAATATTCGATCATTCGATTTAGGACATGGTCATTTAAAACTATTTTATTATTTTACTGTCAAGTATTCCTGGGTCCCTGTACTTAACTTTTATGAAGATAGAGTAGTTAAAATATATTAGAGTTTATATATAATTTACATGGAAATTTCCTAGCATCACGACAATCCGTCCATACTGTTTGATTGAAAATAGACTAATGAACGCATTCTGATTTAAGCCCGATCTGGACCTGTCGTACTAACAGAAATAAATTGTAGTTTAATGTAATTCATTTAACAAGTATAAGATTCAAGCCGCCATAGTTATTTAGCTGGTCAACCGTGGGGGGGGGGTTGGAAAACTCTGGTTCCAAACCAGTGGGGAACATGGGCTCCAAGATCCTGAAGGAACAAAAAGTTTATGAACCTGTTGTTAGTCACCGGCTACCACGGGACTCCATCTCGTAACTTTGCGCCACTGCCTTATAGATCAGACCTCTAGATCAAGGGCTCGGGGTGTGGCCCCCTAAGATGACCATTTGCTGCGATTTGGGTGACCGGGTAATATTCCATCTCTTAGACAAATATATATATATATATATATATATATGGTTCCTCCTTGTACCAACGTTTGTGTTTAAATAAACGTAAATATATAAATAAGTTGATCCAACCAACATGATTTTGACGAGTATTTATGTTTCACAGTTTAGGATGCATTCATTAGCGCTTTTGAACTCAGCATCTAGCACTTCTTAAAGTTTAAGCTTCCTTCCACTTGTTGTCTTCTGTCCAAGTGCTTGTTATTTGACACTCGAACATTCAAAACAAACTTCCCAAATTATGTAACAGTTTTTTATGTGTGTATATTTTTTTTATCGAAAATCCTTTGTTAAAGTGTTTAATTTCAAAAAGTCTAGACATTACCGTAATGTTGATAGCTTATTAGTATAGAAAACACGATTTTCAACCAACTGGCTACATGTTTGAACCCTGTTACATCTACTTTTGCTCTATTGTATAATGAGTTTTATCTATTGAGACATGTATTAAGTATGCCCTGGTAGGTACAGTCTAGCAGATTGGTTTCTTCATAGTTATCGTAACCAGTCATTGGCAGTGTCAGGTGATATGACTCATAATCATTCACGATGACACAGATATATTCACTCCCTTAAATCTTAATTTTAACATTATCTATTACTTTTTATCTTACCAACTCACTCTTTCTTCCTAAATCATCATACTGTCTATGTCCAGTTGTTTCTGGTACTACCGATACCGTTATTACTTGTACTACTCTGGCATTCTTAAAAATAACTTCATCTCGTTGTGGTCATATAGTGTGGTAACGTGTACCGAAGCTTGTATATGTCCCTGCATTCCACGTTGCTTCTAACTGACCAAAATCAGTCAGTCAGCTACAACGTAGGACCAGGCACATATGTGCATCGGTCCAAGTTGCCATATCTCATTACCACACCAAGATGAACACCGGATTTATAGAAGCAGGTAATTCAATGTTGGTAATACATAAAAGAAAGATTGCATATAAGGAAGAAAAAAAGATATAAAGCAATTTTAATCTCATAGTTTAAGGGAAGACAAAGAGTGTATACACCGAATCCATTGTGATTGATTCTGAGCCATTTCACCAAGAGTCTCCAACCATTGGTTACGATAGTCATACGAACCCCAATCAAGTAGTCTGTATCTACCAATATGGCTCAGACTAGAAGTTAGTGACTTCAAGCACTGATGCCACATTTTGGTTTGGTCGCCCCTAATTTTCCTCCAACCATCCCCAATACCAGTCAGCATTGAGCATCGTGGTAATCGGAGTTCAGGCATACTCAACACGTGGTCCAACCATTTTAGTCAATGAAAATTTACAACCTCATCAACTGATTTACCATCATTCCCTAATACCCTGCGTCTAACCTCACTATTACATACCCGACGATCCCAGCAGATGCCATCAATATTTTTAAGACATCTGTGGTCAAATACTAGTAGCTTACGAGTATCTTTACTCTGAATGTCCACGTTTCGCAGACATAAAGTAGAATAGAACGAACTGCCGCTCAGTATACTGACCAAAATATAATCAGTTAATATTACTTGACCTCACAGGACCAATATAGTTCTATCCTATGTATATTAACCTATACATACATAACTAAGTAATATTATGATATATTTTTATGTATTACTGTGCTTTTTTTCTACTGAAAGCAGCAAATGATGTATATTCTTTAATGTATCCATGTTTGATTAGTGAATTTCCATATATATGTCATGAAAGTGGTTTAAATGATGAAACCTATGGAAATACTTAACTTCCTAAAAATGATTTCGAATCATAGATGGTTTCAATTTGCTAATGTAAGCACTATTCTTTTTTTCTTTTAAGGATAAGCAAAAGTGTGAAAGTGGTTCATGATAACAGCAATAATAATTCTTCTGTAGTTGAAATTCATATGTTTATGACACATGCTACACTTTTGAACGACCGATTTTTAATGGTCACTTGATAGTTATATATGTGTGAATTGATTTAATGATAAACCACATGGGATTGACATATTCGGTCACTTTTGCTTCAATTAAGTTTTTAAAAAAGTGTGCTAATCATGTGTGAGTATTCACTAAAGGTTTCAAATGTACATGTTTTGCCTATTTCTAGTTCATAAGTTGGTTAATTGTAATTATTTTGAATACTGTGAAGAGAGTACTGTGACTATGCAGCAATCAGCTCTAATCAGATAATCTCCAGTATACACGTATATATATATATATATATATATATATATATATATATATCATGATTTACATAGGTGAGAGTTAATTAATCAAGAAAATGGTAGGTTGTTGGCATCCTTCAACGACCATTAATCAGTACTTTTATCATAGTAACAGTTAATTAGTATTTGGTTATGAATTAACGCTGTATTATATTGATATAACTGTCAGTTTACACTTATGGATTAGGTACGAATACAGTCAAACAGGGAAGTATTGAAATCGCATGATTCATACATAAGGCGATTAAGAATCGATTGTGATGGAGTTTTGTTCTTTAAGTTGGATGGTTTAGTCGGAGAGCTTTCATCGTTATTCTGAACGACATCATCAGCACAAACCTTAGGTAGAAGTGAATTGTTCGAATTTCTCCACATATTGCTCACAGCTTGTCCCGTAGACTTCGATGTTGTTTGGTTATTGTGGACCTTTAACATCTTATTGTTTACTTATTTATTTTGGTTGTATCTCCCATTAATTTGGTTTTTGGCTCTATATTTGTATCTCTGTATTAGGAATACCGAGGTGCAACTGTGTATTCTAGCAAAGTAACTATGTCACCATGCTGAAACACTAACTTCACTGGCTTCCACATCGTGTATTTTTTGCTTATGTTGGTACTGGTTAAGAAATACATAGAGATAGTCAACTTTTGAAATATCATTATTGTACGGGAATGGAATCTGTGTGTTTATCATAACTCTTTGATTGGGTTTTTAAAGATAATATAACTCAATAACTTGAGTCATTAAATATGGCTTGGAATAGAAAGCAAAAGGTATTCTGCTATAGTCTTCTTTTAAGCTCTTTCGTTAACTAAAACAAGTTTTTCCTTGGCTGTATTTTCAACCAAACTCCATCTCTTATTAAATACTGTTCTTGTTACTTTATTGACTTAAGAGCCTCATTCCCACTTCAGTGTCTTCATAATTTATGTGACCCACACTTTTTGGTGCTTTATTGTATTATCAAAATTGACATATGATATAGATAAATGAATAGGTAGTTTTTCTCTACAGTACAGTACCCCTCCGTTTCAACACTTTTCATTAGTTAGTAAACTGAAGTCAAAACGGTTTATTACAAATTTGAGTATAATATTATTCTATTAAATGTGTATTAAAACACGGAGCAAATGATAGAATGATGCACAAAAAATAGACAAACAAAAATCTCATAAACGTAGTTCTCTTTATTATCTTGAAGAGAGCAAAAACAAAGATTGGTGCTAATCTCGAAAGAACCAAGCTCAAAACATCGATTGATGAAACGGTTTATTATTCGAGGTATGTTTACAACACCTTCATCATGTATAATAATCAACAACACACAACAAATCTGCTGAAACTTTTCAACGAAATTCATAAAAGTATCCATTTTACTATGGAGCATTAAAGTGTGAACCACGTTCCATTTTCTCGACATCACACTAAAACAAAGAAAGGATGGCACAGTCCATCAATTCAGTCTATCAAAAAAGCAGAATGGGATTTATCACAATTGCAATAGCTTTTGTCCACTCCGTTACAAAAACGCACTGGTTAAAACATTATTTCATAGAACAGAAACAATATTTACTGTGGATACGCTAGAAGAGGAACTAATGAATGTGAAAAAGACTAAAGACTGCGTTGATAAGAGCTTATCCTGCAACTAAACTATTGTCCGAAATAACATGTTCTTTAACACAATTAAAGGTCGGTAGGTATTCCTTTCATGTTACCACAGACTGTATATACAAATTCATATGTATCTGCCGAAGCAGTTACATCGGTAGAACAGAAAAGAGAGCCTACGTCCGATCCAAATAACATATTCCAGAAAGCCTTAGACCAAGTGTATTAAAAGCATTCAACAGTACCATCTCTAGACACCTTGGCACAGGACGTCAAGTAGGTAGACTGAAGTTTTTCAAGGTGATTAGCAACAATTTGCTAGAGCTACAGAAATTAATCGTCTAAAACTTGGTCTATGTGTCCAGAAAGAAGTGATAAATCTTCCTTTGCCCTGGTAACATTACATCCTTTTTATTGTGTCATTCATTACTTCAACTCTTTCTGAAGTTGGATTA